TACGCGGTAGATGTGTACGCGCCCCAAGCTGCGAAGTTCGTCCCCGCCAGTCACGAGTTCAGCTACATGGGGCTATGCTCTCCATGGGTAAGGGTGCCGAGCAATTCCTGTTCAAGGGCAACAGCCTCGCTCCACAGAAGAGGATTTCAGATTGACTTGCTGGGCCAATCAGTCAAGAGTCATGCATGAGTGTGAGTGAAGTGGGCAACGCCAAATCACGTGAATGTAGCGCTTGACCGAGATTTCGTACGAGAGCCTGCGGCGCATGCCACAGCAAGTTCCTGCGATTCACGTGATTCGTGATTTATTGTTCCTGACTTTTTACGAGCATCAGGTCAGGTCGTCTTCATGACACTCGTGCTGATTCATTCACGTTTCGTGATGGATGTGAGCCTCTAGACCACTTGAATCGCTCAGACTGCGTGGTAGAAGCGTCGAGGGACTACATGTGCGCACGCACACGGATGGCTGATTGCTGATTGCTGAAGTCGAATGTGAAACGGACGTATGCAGAGGCGATCAGGGCGGACGCGGAGCGATTTCATCTTCAAGAGACCTTCCCCTCGAAGATCGAGTTGATCGCGCTCATCCTTCTTCCAGCAAGAAGAACTGAAATTAGCCCTCATGAAGACCACGAGGTACCTGCTTCGCAATCTATTCCAGCGCCCCTCGTCAGCTTTTCGTACAAGTTCGAGGTCGCACAGGAGCGCATACTCCACCATGACGAGCAAAGGAGACGCTGCAAGTCTGAATTCTCCGATCCCAATCCTGCGCACGCTGGCCGAGCTTCGGGAATGGCGACGTGCGCGATTCGCGCGGGGAGCTACCGTAGGTTTTGTGCCCACAATGGGCGCGCTTCACTCTGGTCATCTGAATCTTGGTGAGCAACGACGACTCTTTGGTCCTCCTGACGTGTATGCGGGGTCGGACAACTGTTCTTTGATGAGTACTGACGCGCATCGAACGGCCCTCAGTGCGGGCGTCCCTAGCAGAAACGGATGAGACGATCGTCTCGGTCTACGTGAATCCCGCTCAATTTGCTCCTCACGAAGA